GCTGTAACCAACTGAGCTACTTGGCCAGCTTATGTATTTTTAAAAACACACGTGGCATGAAATTCAAAGAGAACAAAAGGGCTTAGTCTGTCTCTGTTAATCAGTCTTCCTTCCCCCTGAACCAATTAGAGTTACTAGTTTGTTGTGTTTCTTTTCGGGGCTCCCTCTCCCCTTTCCTTTCTCCGCCTCCTCCTCCAACCCCAACACCAACATCACCACCAGTCATCACACATGTACTTTTTCCTTTTTCACACAAATAACCATCAGCATCTTACTTTTTCCTCCACTCAATATACCATGGAGGTGATTCACATCAGTATATAAAAAAATCTTACTAGTTTTAAGACTACACAGTGTTCTGATCTATAGATGTTTCATAATTTAAGCAGACTATTAATTTAAGTTGTTACAATACTTAAAATTAAAGCTATATTTATTGATATTTGTTCCTTGTTTTTAAAGGATAGGTCTCTAGATTGTATTCTTTCGTTTGCTCCCTTTCTTTGACATGTGGTTTTGCTTTTCTTAGTGAGGAATGCATCAGGCTGATGACTGCCCCTGTCTTGTAGGAATTATGAGCCCCTTTAAAGGAATGATGAGCTCACTTCCTTATGGGAGGGCAGTAGGCACTGAAGTTGGTATTGAAGGAATACCTGAGATTGAAGATTCTAATAGTGCAAATTGTTTTAAATGTGAAATACAATAACATAAGAAATGCCTAACACATGAAAGTAGTACTTAGAGGATTATAAAATGAACACCTGTGTGACCCGGTCCAGATCAAGAAATAGAGCATTGTCTACACCTCTGGGGCCTTTTTAATTTACAATTCCTTCCACGCCCTCTGTGGTGGCCACTTTCCTGATCATGATGGTATTCATGTTGTCTTCATAACTGTATAACCTATGTATTCTTAAGCAATGTAGTAAAATTGTGCTTATTTTTGGAACTCTCCCCTAATGTTTTTAGATATCAGAAATTTTGTACCCCAAGAGCAGCCCTGAAGAGGAAGAGCCATAGAGGGTATGTGGGAAGTGAAGAGGCAAGGATTCTACACATCTTGTCTTAGTGAAGTTTGGGGAACTTCAGCCTTACTATTATTAGGTGAATTTGAGATCTTTTTTGTACCAGGTGATGGAGCTATATCTTCACTGTTGCTAGGATTCCAGAACTAGCTCTGTGTTTGTTTCTTTGAAGTGCTGCTTCCTAAGCACTTACTTGCTGTGACCAGCGCATAGTCCTGCCTGGAGGTCTCCTTATATGCCCATTCTGTTTCTACTCATGTTCCTCTGCTGGACGTTTTTAACTGTGTGTTTGTTCTTTTTTTTTTTTTTAAATTAAATCTTTATTGTTCAGATTATTACATTTGTTCCTCCCCCCCATGTGTGTTCGTTCTTAAGAGCCCTAAAATTCTGCTCTTATTTTTTCTTTCCAAATCTGTAAAAGCTTTGGAGTTTAATTTAGGCTTTATTCATAAACTAGTGAATTCATGCACATTGAAAGGAAATTAATTAGAAGAAATATTTTAATATTGCTATTCGCTCTTTCTCTATAATAGAAGTGTCAGAGATGAAAGAAATTTAGTAAAATGTACATGAAAGTAGTATATAAGTTGATTAATAAAAACAATAACAATATGATATAACAACGAATATTTTCCATGAAATTTCTACTGTCAGAATCTTTGTTTATCATTAATTTTTAAAATATGCCAGGTATTCTGGAAAATTCATATCATTTGAACAAACTTTGCCTTTGCTACAACATGGAGTAAATTTTCCATCAGATGGTTTTTCATCGGAGAAGTTTAGGGATAGGCACAATGGACATGTAACAGTCATTCCACCACAACTGTGTTCAATAATTGCACCCTCATTTACCTCATTTTCGCTATGAAAGCAGTTCCTACCAGTATTGGTCGTACTTGTCGATGACTGTTCTTCAGACATACTCTTTTGATGATGTCACTTTCTTTCAGCCTCAGAGGGTACGTTGTGCCAATAGCTGGTCTTCAGATACACTCTGTTGACGACGCAGGCTTCTTTCGGCTTCAGAGATACGTTGTGGCAATAGTTGGTTTTCAGACATATTCTGTTGACAATTTCGGTTCCAGAATGTCAACAAAAACGTGATGTCTATACCTGGCACCCACAGCCACTGTTTGCAGGCTGGGATGGGCTGTGGCCTGCATTTTGCATCATGGAGTCTCTGCGGCATCAGCTGTGATTTGGTGGTCTGTTGTTCTGGGGTGGTGGTGGGGCCTTTGTCCCACCTGGGGGAAGCCTAGTGTTGCTTTGTCAGTGCCAGGTACACAGTGCCATTTCTCTGTGAGTGACATGGCACCTCCTGCATTGAGCATCTGCCTCCTGGTGGTCAGTGTGCATCATAGCAACCGGTTGGACAGTGGGAAGGACACAGCATATTAGCCTTTTATATATATGTATATATAGACTAGACACCCAGTGCATGAATTTGTGCATGGGTGGGGTCCCTCTGGGTGGCCTGCAGGGATCAGGCTGAAACCTGCAGTCCAACGCCTCCTGCAGCTCCTACCTGCCGCTCCCGCTCATCCCGGACCCACTGTGACTGCCACAGGCTCACGCCCAATCAGTCCTGTTCAGGAGAGGCTCGCACTGTCACAGCAGCGCTCGCCAGCCATGAGCCTGGCACCTGGTGCCCTTCCAAGGGGAGTGGTGTGCAGGATTGGGTTGAAACCAGTTCTACTACATCCTCCGAGGGGTCCCAGATTGTGAGAGGGTGCAGGCCAGGCTGAGGGACCCCCCTAGTGGTCAGTGCACATTATAGTGAGCAGTTGAGCAGCCTTTGCTTATCATTAGCATATTATACTTTAATTGGTTGTTTGGTTGTTCTGCCATTTGGTCTATTTGCATATTACCCTTTTATTATATAGGGTGCTTGTTCCTCTTTCCCATTTAGGGACCTTGGACACTTGAGCAAATTGACGTTTTTTCTTTTTTGTGTCAACTATTTTGGATTTTCTATAAACATAAGCAGAAATGGTATTACGGCATATAGATCATGCCTGATTTGAAAAAACACACAAAAATTATTTTATATAAGAAGACCATAGAAATAATTTCTAGTTAACTTTGGTAGTTGAGTTATTTTCAAAATTTGTGATGCTACTTACATCACCACCTAATATACATATGAATATATGTATGTGTGCTAAAATTTCACTATGTACAGTTATTCTGATATTATTTATTCTGTTCTAATTTCATTAAAAATAAGTGGTGATTGGGGACCCATTAAATTGTCTGCAGGATTCTTCAGTAGGCCACAGCTTGCAGTTGAAAAGGTGCCACAATTTTCTAGAGGGAAGAGGTTGGCTTCAAGGGATTAAACTGAGTGTGGCTTAGTGGTTGATTGTCAACCTATGAACCAGGAGGTCACAGTTTGATTCCCAGTCAGGGCACATGCTTGGGTTGCAGGTTCGATCCCCAGTAGGGGGCGTGCAGGAGGCAGCTGATCCATGATTTGCTCTCATCATGGATGTTTCTCTCTCCCCGCTCCCTTCCTCTCTGAAATCAATCAATCCTATCTATCTATCTATCTATCTATCAATGGTTTTAAAAATAAACTGAGGCAAACTAGAGTCATGGTGTGCTTAAGAGCTTGGACTTTGGAGAAGGATGGACTTGGGCTCATCTCTTGGCTCTGCTACTTACCAGTCACAAGCTAGTAGGCATTCTAGAGCTTAAGCCTTTTATAAAATGGGAATGACACTTCCTGCCTTGGGGTTTTGAGGATTAAATAGAAGAATGTATGGCTATAAGGTAAGCATTAATACAGAACCCACTGTTTTTTTGCCACTATTACTTGTATCATGGCAAATTGGAGTTTCTCTGACTTGAGCCCAGTGGTCTTTATACAGGTTGCAGAATCTACTAGGACAGGAGTTATGGGACAGTGTTAAGTAGCAGAACAAGTGGATGGGAATTGTTTAGTTGATTTGCTGAGCCTTTGGGATCAGGTCAGGTGACTGCTGGAATGTATGCTCACAAATTCTAATAGTTCTTTATAGGAGTGGGAGCTGTATGAAGGTGTCAGGCAGTTACAGTGCCTTCAGTGCAGAAGAGTTGGACTGCTATGCTTGTTCATGGGTGGGAGGTTGAAGCTAAAGAGTGTGTGTGTATGTGTGTGTGTCTGTGTGTCAGATCAACTCAGCGGAAGACTAGAAGACATATTCTGAGTTTTCATTCTATCTCCTTTCATATTTCACATTTAAAATAATTTCCTTCCCTTCTACCCCCTTTTCTAAAGAATGACCAGCTTTATATTTTAGATAACAGTCTGTTCTTAAAAGGAATTGAAGCCAATTTGAATGTTAAAATTTAAATAAGAAAATTAAATTTATATGAAGTCCTAATATGAAGAGAAACCCATTTATTAACATTTAGTGTTTTCCCTTCCAGTTTTTTCTCATGCATTTAAAAAAAGGTGGCAGTAATACTGAACATCAGGCACCTTTATAATGAAATTAAAAGTTGAACTGGCTAGATAGCTCTAGATCAGTAAGATGTAGAGGAAGGGAGAAGGGGCAGTGTTGAATGGGAGAGATAGTAACATTGATTTAATCTGTCCTCTTAGGTGCTCTGTAAGAAGTAAAAATTTGACAGTAAAACTTCCCTCTTTACTGCTCTTCTCCCTTATTAGGCATGTGCTCCTGAGGTCAGAAGAACAGATCTTATGGTTGTTGTGCTTCTAAAATTAGTATCTCCGTTAGATTGCTGGTAGAGTTTCTATTTTTTTTTTTTTTTTGTGGAATATGAAAGCTGAACTGTTTCTAATAGTTCTGTTAACCATATATTTGCTAGTCAGTGCTTTTCAACTGCTCAGGTTCTCCACCAGTGAACCCTCTCAGGTCCTGAGAAAAACCCAAGTAGCCTATCCTCCATGGCAGAACCTGAATGGGCAGTGCTGCCTGGAAAGGATGACTTAACATGAGTCTATTATGTTTTCTCTTTTTCCCACAGATTTTGAAGCCAGCTTCATAAGGCTTTTGGACAAAATAACAAATGGTTCTCGAATTGAAATAAACCAAACAGGTAAGCTCCTTTTCTTCCTGTTCGGGAAAGCATCTACATATGCACGACTTAATCATTCTTCTGTTTCTCACTCCATTTGATGGTATACATTTTATATTCAGATGGAAACATCCAGTTTCCTGTCTGTGATACAGTTGTTTGGAGATATGTGTGAATTCTGCCAATTTAAGGGGCATACACTTGATTTAAGGAAGTTAGAAGACTGAAAATTTTAGATCAACAAAAAGCATCTTCTCTTTTTTCAACAGTAAATATTTTATACCTACCACTTATTAACTTACAACTTTTCAAAGTCCATTTACTTATATTATCACAACAAAATCTTACCACAAACTCTAGGAGGTAGTTGTATGTGCTGAATTTTATTTTTTTATTTTGCTTTTAAGATTAGTTTAAATAAGTATATGCAAAAATTGTGAAAGCCCCTTCAGCTGTTTCCGTTCCATTCCCTCCCCAGGTGCAGCCATGGTGGGGAGGGCGGCGTGCCCTTCTCTTCTTCCTCTATATGCATTTGCTTATAAGGGTACCTCTGTATCTTAGATGAACGATTTTCAACCAGTGTGCTGCAATAATTTTTAAAAAGATGCAATACCTGACTATTTTGTCAGGGGCACTGACCTCTTTTCCCTTAGATGGTCAGATAAAAAAATATGATAATAGCCAACACAATATCTGTCCAGTGTGAATGAGTCAGAGTTATACCTAATTTTTTTTGGGGGGGGGGTCAGGTCAGCAAAAAAAATTTACTATATCTTTTGGTGTGCCATAGAATCTTAATAATTGGTGAGATGAGGACGGTTGAAAATAGCTGTCTTAGATCATCAACAGGGTTGTGCTCTTGATATGAACAACCAGCTTTTTTTCTTCACTAGCACAGATGTCACAGGTTAATCTCAATTATTTCAGTAGGCCTCATATAGTATTCCATTGTTGGATGCATGATCATTTATTTCAGTTTGTTTCTAGATACTTTTTGTTTGTTTGCTATTAGAAACACTTTTACTAGTATATACATTGTATAGGAAGCAAACATCTTTGCCAGGTTCCATGAACGGATTATGTACCTTTCTGTACATGTGCAACAGAGGAAACTCTGAACTTGTTGACTCTTTTTTTTCTAATCCTCACCTGAGGATATGTTTATTGATTTTAGAGAGAGGAAGGGAGAAAGAGAGAGAAACATCTATTCCTTGCCTCTCCTACAAACCCTAACCAGGATCGAACCTGTAAACCCAGGTATGTGCCCTGACTGGAAATCAAACCCGAAGCCCTTTGGTGTTCGGGGCAACGCTCCAACCAAGTGAGCCACACCAGCCAGGGCCCACATGTTGTTTCTTTTAAGAAAGAAGACAAGCTTGGCTTAAAAAGTGGCCTGGCACCGCAGGAAATTTGTTGCAGAGAACAGGTTTTAGGTATGCGGCTTCAGATGCCCTTGGCAAGCTATGGTTCTATTAGTCTTCCTTGGCTTGTTTACTTTGAAATTCCTGGAGATTTTTTCAGCAGTTTATATTGGTGATTCAGAGGGCAGGTAATTAATATATTTTCTAGTCACTTCTACAGCTTAGGTTGGGAAGTAGATATTTACATGATCCTGCTATCCTTGTATCACTCTCCCATACCCACCTCCACCCCAGGGTAGAATACTTCATTCTGATGACCTGGTCAATTTCTTATTTGGTTAATTTGCAGGCATAGGCAGATTTGCAGTGCAGTGTTTAATGGTTATATAGCTTTTTTTTTAAAAAGGCTTTTTGTACTAGAGGATTAGTTTTGTGACTCAAGAATAGTGTTTAGAATAACTGATGTAGAATCTTACCCTTTGAGAAGTGTGGGAGGAATATGATTCTGATTTTGATCGATTCTGATTGTTGGTATTTTGGTTTTTAATATAGTAAGACCTAAATTTATTCTATGAAACTCACAAGAGCTGCTTGCCTTTGAAGTGACTGAACAAATCTCCGTCCCCTGTTGCTAAATTTGCTTATTGATAAATTGTGCCAGAAGACATTGCAAAACATTTGAGCGACAAAAAGACCTTGTTCACCCACTTATACCCCCAGATCATCTAGAGCAGCAGTTCTCAACCTGTGGGTTGCAACCCCTTTGGGGGTCGAACAACCCTTTCACAGGGGTCGCCTGAGACCATCGGAAAACACATATATAATTACATATTGTTTTTGTGATTAATCACTATGCTTTAATTATGTTCAATTTGTAACAATGAAAATACATCCTGCATATCAGATATTTACATTACGATTCATAACAGTAGCAAAATTACAGTGATGAAGTAGCAATGAAAATAATTTTATGGTTGGGGGTCACCACAACATGAGGAACTGTATTAAAGGGTCGCAGCATGAGGAAGGTTGAGAACCACTGATCTAGAGTATCTTATTTTGTTTTTCCTCTAATATGTTAATCTGGTAAGAAACTTTTTGAATGATACGAATATGTGAAAAAGTGGATAAAGATAATAAAGAGTTTCTAATAAAGCTAGTAAGTAAATTTAAATATTCTTATTTGTTTACTTTTATAATAGCTGCTATTAATGGAATTGCCATAAAGTACTTGCTTTTGTAGGCATCTTGTTTGGTGAGTGTGGTACATGGGAAATCTCATTTTAAGGGCCTAGAACAGTGATGGCGAACCTTTTGAGCTCGGCGTGTCAGCATTTTGAAAAACCCTAACTTAACTCTGGTGCCGTGTCACATATAGAAATTTTTTGATATTTGCAACCATAGTAAAACAAAGACTTATATTTTTGACATTTACTTTATATACTTAAATACCATTTAACAAAGAAAAATCAACCAAAAAAATGAGTTCGCGTGTAACCTCTGACACACGTGTCATAGGTTCGCCATCACTGGCCTAGAAGAAGCTGATTGCTGGTGTGATGGTTTCAGAGCATCGTTTATAAACACCCTTGTTCAGCAATGTCTGAGAATGTGCTGTTGGCAGACTTAAGATACCTGTTAGGATTTTTTCTCTCTGCCTTGCCATGACTTTGGCAATTCAGATGGCTTAGGGAGGGGCTTAATTTATTACTGTTTATTAAATTACACTCACAGTTTATTATTATTACAAGGGCTTGACAGTAATGAGTCAGCTTTTGGACTGAAGTGTGGGCTCTTAGGACTGGCATTTTAAACTCCCTTGGATGCCCATGTCAGACTTTCCCCTTGGGATTCATTGCCTGTGTTGATTTTGTGACACCGAGCGTTTGTTTTTTTTTCCCTGCTGAATGTGGCTCTCTTTCCTCTTATGTAAGGGACGACCTTGTATTACCAGCCTGGCCTCCTGTATGGTGGATCCGTGGAGCATGACTGCAGTGTCCTTCGTGGCATTGGCTATTACCTGGAGAGTCTTCTTTGCCTGGCTCCATTTATGAAGCACCCATTAAGGATAGTTCTTCGAGGAGTGACCAATGACCAGGTTGACCCCTCGGTGAGTAGTGAGGCCACACCATGGTGTGAATTTTGTTTCGTCTCTTGTCACAACGCAACTGTTGATAAACAAGTTCCTGATAAAGCACAGGTTTATTGTTGAGTGTATTTGTTTTGTTATTTACCTTGAGATTTAGAGATTAATCACTGCAGGACGCAGATGAACCAAGATTCATAATCAGTCAAATTCAGGAATGATTGTTACCATTCATCAAGGTGCCTTTCATTGTCGTGTCAAAGAACCTTCAGAACAGATGCTGGCAATCTCACCATGGTTGACCTGAAATATGGCTCTGTCGGCTGAAGTGTGTGGGAGTGAAACTTTCACAAGGTCATGTGATAGCTGAGGCTGGAAAGCAGCAGACCACAATTTTAGACAGAAAATATCTCCTTGGCATTGTTGCAGCACAGTCTTGACTTATTTAAACTTGAGGACATTCTCCTTCTGAGAAGAGTTTGCAGATTTAGGAAGAGGGCATAGGGACAGGGTCTGTATATGTGGGCTTTGATAGTTTAAGGGCACAGCAACCTTCTTAAGTGGGATAATTTTCCTGCGTGTATGGGGAAGATAGTTTAATATACAGGTGGAATTTTCATTGTGGCCACCACAAGTGTCAGTCCAGGATGGGTTTTTGGGGGGGCGATATATAGATGTGTGTGTGTGTGTGTGTGTGTGTGTGTGTATGTATTAGAGTAGTTCTTTCCAGACCTGCCTTAGACCTCTCATAGGGAGAGAAGGATCCTCACCTTTAGACGCTCTGCTGTCCAGAGGGTATCTTAATGCCTATGGCCACTATGCCAAGTCCTGACTGAGGACTCTTATCTTCACCTCTACAGACATGGAACCAAGACTGATGAAGGGTCAATAATATTAAAATAACTATGAGTGCCAGTTGCATACTGGAAATGTCAGGGGGAACACCTTGTAAAGTATATGCTGTACACCTGAAACTAATACAAAATAATGCTGAATGTAAAGTGTAATTGAAAATTTTTTTTTCAATCTGAAGACCAATGAAGGGGTGGCTTCTAAGGCAGAATATGAAGTATCTAGCTTCTCTAATCAGGGAAGACCAGTTAGGTGGTTCAGGGAGCTGCACAGTGGAGACGGCTGGTATTCACCTATGTGCTTTTAGAGTATAAACCTGGTTAATGTGTTCTCAGGCAGTAAAAGACTTATTTCCCAATTCTTGGGATTTGGGTACATAAACTCTTTTCCTAGAATCTTAGTACAGTGCATGATCTGAAATCATTAGCTGTAAAGGAATGCTGAATAAACTGTCTAGAATTTTAAACTAATTTCAAGGGATTGCTTTTTTTCTTATATTTTTCTGGAAGATTCTGGGAAGTGGGCCCTTCAATTGAAAGTGTTCCCAAGGGGAGCCCTCCACACTTCTAGGTGGAGGGTGGGGAAGGTGCCTTGAGTAATGGGAAAGGCCCTGAACGTACAGGAGACTTTGGCACTGTGTCCCAGTTTTGTATTCTTTCTATAATTGCTAATGATCTTAAAAGCTGTTATCACTGCCAATATTTTAAAAAGTTTTATATATTAACAGACAAAGGTTAGTTGATGAATTCCCCAGAAATAGTACATAACTCTTTTGTGCAGAACATATAAAAGAAATCTGTTTTCATATGCTACAGGACTGCTTTTGCTCCCTGCAAGACTAAAATGACCTTGGATAGTACTTGGCTCCAATCCAGGATAAAACAAATATACCTAATCTTGGATAAAGAGTAACTTCTTCAGCCTTCTTGGATGAAGAGTGGCTTCTTCATTTTGAGCTTTCTCTTCAGTATGTGGTTTCCCTATCAGCTCATGTCCACATTTGCTGTCTACACCAGGATGAATATAATGCGTTCTGCCCCTAGGGAACTTGTTCTCAAGGGGTGGACAGCTATGAACACATAGAGGGGAGGCCACAAGGCTGAGTACCTCTGGGCTCTGATAGAGGTACAAGCAAAGTGCTGAGGGCTCGGGAGGGTTTTCTAGAGGAAGGGAAGCCACAGAATCAGCTTGGTTTTCAGGAAGAGCACTGTGGAGGTGGAGAGAAGTACGAATTGGGGGTTTGTCAATTAGTTTGAACACATTAGAGATGGAAGCAGATAGGAAGGAACTGATATGAAGGACAGTGTGGAGGGGAGACTTCGTGATTTGACAGTTAATTAGAGATGGGATAGGAGGAAGTGTTCATAAAATAACTTCACATTTCTGTCCTGGTTGTCTTGAGGGATAGTGATGAGAAGGAGTTGAACACAGCGAAGAGGAAAATTGTGGTTGGTAGTTGGGTGATGTGCTTGATTGTGGTATGTTGGGAGGATATCCACATGTGTTTGTCCAGTTGGCAGTGGACATTACTGTCTGGAGCTTCAGTGATAGGTCATCAGTATCTTACCTACAGATAGTCAAATCCCTAGGAGACTGCGATTGACCAGCGCTGAGTGAGGTTGAACACCGGCGGCTTTCTGTCTGAGTTGATCCTTTGGCCTGTTTTTCCTTTGGCCTGCACAGCATGGTGGTGTGTGTATCTGAATTGCATGTTCATGTTTGGAACCAGATTTTACACTGTAGTAGGCTGATGCGGCTGCAATGATGGCAGCTCTTCCCCGACAGCCTCCCATTGAGCTGAGTAGTAGCTGCCCTCTTTGGAAAAGGCATGAGCCCTCCAGTTAGCTGGAGGTCTTAGCTGATCTTGTCATTCATTTACCTTCCCTTTCTGGCCTGTGTTGAGTATTAGAGGTTTTGCCTCATGGTCCCAGGGACCGAGACTAGAAGAGGAAGTGGATGTGTAAGGTGTGAGTAGGGGAAGAGGAGCTGCAGGCAGTGAGTGGAGGTAGAAGTGTTTGGAGAAGCCACGCAGGAGTTGAGTTTTGAGAAGCCAGGAGCTGATTGAGGATTGGGTAGGGAGACTCAGCAATGAGAAGTTTTATTGACCTTTGAGAGAGCAGTAACATTGATATGTAAGGACAGCCACAGGGTGAGGAATGAATAGGAAAGAGCACCATGGGAAGGAGATTCAGAAGGTTAGAGAGGATGATTCCTGAAGAGCTGAGTTTGGAAATTCAGAAGGTGAGATAGGGTGATTCCTAAAGAGCTGAGTTTGGAAATAGTTTTTTAAATGAGAGATTTGAGCTTGCTTGTAGGCTGAGGAGACGCGGCAATGGAGAAGGAAAGAATTAAAGGGGTTGGGGGACTTACTAAGGGTAACTCCTGCAGACATCCAGAGGGGATGAGCATCAAAAGCAGAAGTGGTGGGATGAGCCCCCTATAAATGGGTAGGACATTTTTCCCCTTCAGAGGCAAAAGGTTAGAAAATGGGGAGACATTTTGGGGAGAAGTAAAGTTCTAGGACGTCTCCTTTGAAGCTCAGTGATTTGGCACCGGAACCCCCAATAGGAATTATTGATGCTAGCATCCTGGTCAGAGGGTGAGTGAAGATCTTACTCTTTTTCATTACCGTTCTGGAAGGGAATGAAGTACAATAAAGTCTGCTGTATGTTGGGCACAGTTCTAGTACATGTAGCCATATTTATTTAATTCTGGTACAAACCCTGTGAGATGGGTGTTCCTGCCACTGTTTCAGACAAGGTAACTGAGAGCAGTTTCTTCCCTTCTAGTTGGCTTTGTATCTGATGACATTTCTACCTGTTGATTGATTGAGTGAACTTGTCAGACTGACTGACGCCTTTACCCTGAGGTGCCACTTGGATCAGAGTTTTCTTCCTAACCACTGAGTGACTGTTCAGTTTTCCTTAAGTAGAATGTGCAGCCCACCCCCACTCTACTGAAACTATGGTGCAGAGCCGGGGGAGACTGGAACATGTCCAGTCCAGCCCCTCATACACAGCAGGAAGCCAAGGCCCTGGGGAGGTGGGGAGGGTGCAGGTTTCACAGCTAGTAAGAGGCAGAGTGAGACTCAAGCCTACATGTGCTCTTCCAGCCCTCGTCCCACCACACGAGTTGCCTGCCTTTTGCATCAGATGGAGAGTGATTTAGGAGCCAGGACCACACCTGGAGTTATACTCAGGCTTCTGGCTGACCCTCAGAGTAAATCTGACTTCATCCTGTATGACTCCAGGTAGAGGGAGGATGAACCAGAAGGGCTGTTCTGCTTTCTTGCCTTTTCTGTCCCCAGGACGGCTGGTGGCTGCCTAGTTCCAGGGGGTTATTTGGGCAGAGTAATCCATATCCTTGTATTCCCTGTTTTTTCCAGAAAGCTGGCTTGGCCTTCTCCCCAGCTGCCCTTAGTACTAGCCTAGGCTGAATTCTCCTTGCTGCTGGCCATCCCAAATGTATGTCTTAAGTATTTGGGTGTATTTAACTTTAATATTTAGGTTGAAGTGAGCTAACTTTCAGTGAGTTTTCCTAGTAACTTCTCCTGTATCCCCTCATCCATTCTCTACATGATCCTAGGCTGCATAGGTCATTTCTACCTCAGGTTAATTTTCTGATAGCAGAATGTGTAGGTGGGGCCTATTCTCTGCTATAAAGACTTATTCGGAGTATCATTGTGTTGAGGCTTAGCATGTTGGAATGGGTAGCACCTTGAAGAAGGCTGACACCCTTGCCTTAGAGACAAGGAAATTAGACAGTTGTCTGAGACCATGCAGCTCACTCGAGGGAGAGCCTGAACCAGGACCAGCACTTTCCCCTACCCCCTCTGCTTGCGCTGCCTGCCCCCACTGCTCCTGATAAGGTCAGCTCCCAAGTGCTGAGGAACGGCCCTTTGCCCATTGGGAGCAAGGAAGGGAGTGACTTTCTTTCCCATGTTGCAGTTGAGTCAGCGTTCACTGACTTGTTAGATCAGCGCACTTTGAATGTCATCCTTATACTCTGAGGAAGCGTGAACAGGAAAGGACCCCAGGCCCCCTATGAGTTCTGAAGAGGGAGGAGATAGTAGTCATACTTGACACAGGCTTGCCATTAACTGTGCAGTTGTGGGTTTGTGCTGCTTCAGTAGTTTGAGGCAATCATTCCTCCACTGCCCTCACTTTCTTTTTTTTTTTTTTCTTAATATAGTTTATTGATTTTTTTACAGAGAGGAAGGGAGAGGGATAGAGAGTTGGAAACATCGATGAGAGAGAAACATTGATCAGCTGCTTCCTGCGGATTCCCTACTAGGGATGTACCCGCAACCAAGGTACATGCCCTTGACTGGAATCGAACCTGGGACCCTTGAGTCTGCAGGCTGACGCTCTGTCCACTGAGCCAAACTGGTTAGGGCTGCCCTCACTTTCATATAGAACCACAGCCTACCCTTTCACTGCCTGTGCGGTGGGCCTCAGCAAGACTCTTAAGTAGCTGTTGAGTACTTTTTTTGGTTTGCTTTGGCTTTGGCGTGCCACAAGCTTTAAAGATCAAACAACTGTGTTGGGAAAAGATTAATAAAGAATCTGATATTTTTTCTGTAGTATAAATACATAAAAGAATGAGCAGAGGTCAAGTTTGTTCTATATAAGCCTGACAGGTTCTCATGCTTTTTGCATGTGATGGTCATGATGATGACTTGTAAGGTAGGTGTAAGTCTCCATGTCAAAAATGAGGAAAGGGGCTCAGAGGAGCTAGTGGCTTATAAAATCTGTTTACTCGGGAGCAGAGTGGTCCCATGCCCTCAGTTGTAAGTCAGCATCCTCTTTCTTTTTCAATACTTTTTTTTTTTTATTGATTTCAGAGATGAAGGGAGAGGGAGAGAGTTAGAAACATCAATATTGAGAGAGAATCATTGATCTGCATGCCCCTTACTAGGGAATTGAGCCCACAACCCAGGCATATGCCCTTGACCGGAATCAAACCCGGGACCCTTCAGTCTGCAGGCCGATGCTCAATCCACTGAGCCAAACCAGCTAGGGCCAGCATCATCTTTCTTTACCAGACTACACATCATCTACCTGGTTGCTATGTCTCCACTTGGTTCATGGGCTGTTTCTTCTTCCCGTCTGCTCAAGGTTTAATGAAACTTTTTATTTTATTCTGAAATAATTCTACAGGTTGATGTTCTTAAGGCAACGGCCCTCCCTATTTTGAAACAGTTTGGAATTGATGGTGAATCACTTGAGCTAAAGGTAAGAATGAATTGTTGTCTGTATATATCTGTGTAAAACATTTCCTTACCAACTCATTGGAAGAGCTGTATGACGTGTGTGTGTGTGTGTGTGTGTGTGTGTGTGTATGTGTGTGATATTTGAAGTCAGCATTTATAAGACCGATAGGACATGCAAACGTGACAAACTTTGAGTTGAAAGGGACCCTTTAGTAATGACAATAATAGCCAACAGTTATATTGTACTTTCTTTGTGGTGGGCATTGTTGTAAACATTTTACAATTATTAATACTTTACTATTCATAAAAACTCCATTTGTGTCACTCAGCTAATAAGTAGTAGAGTTAGGATTCTAGCCATAATGCCTCTCTAATGTAGATCATCTAGATATAGTTTATGTTTTAACATCATAGTACAACATGTTGCTCACATTTTTATGATGAGGCTAGTGTGTACAAACCCACTTCTCTGCCAGTCGTATAAAAGTATAACACGTACAGCCCTAGTCGATTTGGCTCAGTGGATAGAGCATTGGCCTTCGATTTCGATCAAGGGCATATGCCTGGGTTGTGGGCTCAATCCCCAGTAGAGGGCGTGCAGGAGGCAGCCAATCAATGATCCTCTCTTATCATTGATGTTTATATCTCTCTCTCCCTTTTCCTTCCTCTCTGAAATCAATAAAAATATATTTTAAAAAGATAAAAGCATAACACATACAATTATGTATGAATCTCATGTTGTTTTGTTTACAAAACAAAAGCATACAAAATCCACTGTTAGCATTCTCAGTAAGAGGCCACCTTGAGTGATTGACCTGGAAATAAAATTAGAAAATGATTAGATACTACAACGGTAGAAAACCAGTGATGGTTATTGCTCACCAGTCAGGCATGTCCTATTCCACCATAGCTATGATCTTGAGGAACAAAAACAAAGTAATGAAAGCTATTAATGGGTCTCCTTCATTAAAAGCAACAAGACTAACACAAATTGGAGAAGGGCCTATATGAGACATGGAGAAACTTCTAATGACCTGGATTGAAGACCAGACACAGAAGTGTATCCCTCTCAGCACGATGACATGACAGTCACAGCCAAAATAAAAAGTTTGTTTGGGATGCTGAAAGAAGAGGCTGAACTCGATCACGATGTTGAATATACTGCTAGCTCTGGGTGGTTTAAAGGATTCAAGCATGGTTATTCATTACATAATGTGAAAGTGAGTGATGAGCCTGTGAGTGCTGATGTGAAGGGAGGTGAAGAATTTTGGGATACTCTAGACCAGCGGTTGCCAACCTTTAGGACCTCACGGACCACCGGTTGGTGACTGCTGCTCTAGATAAGCTGATGTGGAGGAAAATTACTTGTCAGAGCAAACTTTGAATATGGATGAAACCTCCTATTCTGGAAATAGATGCCTGAAAAGGCTTTCATCCATAAGAAGTCCAGGTCAATGCCAAGTTTCAAGGCTTTCAGAACAGGATAATATCTTGCTTGGAGGCATTGTTTCTGGCTACAAACTGAAACCCTTTGTTAGCTGGCCAGGGACAACCCAAAGGCCTTTAAGCATATCAGTAAGCACACACTACCAATATCCTACAGGTTTGGTGAGAAGTCATGGATCCAGCTGCTCTTCCAAGATGCCCTTTTTAATTACTGTCAGCGAAATGGAAAAGTACTTTTGGAGAATTATATACGTTTTAAGATTTTGCTTATTGTTGACAGTGCTCCTGGACATCCTCCTTTTATTGGTGATCTTTTTTTAAAAAAATATATTTTTATTGATTTTTTACAGAGAGGAAGGGAAAGGGATAGTTAGAAACATCGATGAGAGAGAAACATTGATCAACTGCCTCCTGCACACCTCCTACTGGGGATGTGCCCGCAACCAAGGTATAGGCACTTGACCGGAATCGAACCTGGGACCTTTCAGTCCGCTGGCTGATGCTCTATCCACTGAGCCAAACCGATCAGGGCTTATTGGTGATCTTTATCCCAATATCAAAGTTGTGTTTCTTCGCCCAAACACTACCTCTTTTATCAAGTCAATTGATCAAGGAGTTATAGTAGCTTTAAGACCTTCTATCTGAGGAGGACCTTTGCCTAAGCTATTCCTGCAACTGAGGAAGACACTGAAAAAACATTGGTACACTTCTGGGATTACAGTATCCATGACTGCATCAGGAACCTTACTTGGGTTTGGGGCGATGTCACCAAGAAGTATATGAGCCCTAGCTGGTTTGGCTCAGTGGATAGAGGGTCGGCCTGCAGACTTAGGGGTCACAGGTTTGATTCTGGTCAAGGGCATGTGCCTGGGTTGCTGGGTCAATCCCTAGTGGGGGGTATGCAGGAGGCAGCCGATCAATGATTCTCTCTCATCATTGATGTTTCTATCTTACTCTCCCTCGCCCTTCCTCTCTGAATTCAATAAAAATATATTAAAAAAAACCCACAAGTATATGAATGGCATCTGGAAGAAGACAATTAGTTTGTCCCTGACTTCAAAGGATTTTCCAAGGCTGAAGACATTGTATAAATTAACAGGGCTGTGGTTGAGATGGCAAACAACTTTAACCTGCGAGTGGATGAGGCTGACATTGAGGAACTCCTAGAGGTGGTTCCTGAGAAATTGACTAATGAAGAGTTGTTGAAACTGGGACAGGAATACGTAGCTGAAAAAGAGGCAAGAGAAAAGGAAACTGCAGGAGAAGGGAAAGAACATTCACAGTGAAGTGTTTAGCAGAAGCTTTTGAAGAACTCAAAAAGCTCCTTAAAAAGTTTGAAAACACGGACCCCCTCCTCAACACCAAAAGGTTTTCATTAATAGAGAGGAATTTTCATGATGCAAATCTGCTTACCAGCAAAAAATGATGAAAAGAGAAATACACCAAGAAAACCGCAGTGGACATAGTTCCTTAAGAAGAGCCTCAGGTAGGTCCTTCAGGAGTATTCCAGGGGAAGGCATAGTTAAAGGAGATGACAGCTCCATTTGTTATTACCTCTGACGACCTTTCAGTGGGACAAGGTGTGAAGTGGGAAGACAATGAATTTAATGATCCTAACCTTGAGTAGGCCAAGCTAATGTGTGTGTTTTTGTGTCTTAGTTTTTAACAAAAAAGTTAAAAAAATTTAAAAAATAGAAAAAGCTTCTAGAATAAGGATATAAAGAAAAATAATATTTTTGTACAGCTGGTATGCATGTTTGTGTTTTAAACTAAGTGTTATAAAAGAGTTGAAAATTTATAAAGTAAAAATGTTACAATAAGCCAAGTTTAATTTATTATTATTGAAAACACTTTTAAATAAATGTAATGTAGTCTAAATGTACAATGTTTAAAGTCTTCAGTAGTGCATAGTAATGTCCTAGACCTTCATGTTTGCTCACCACTCATTGATTCATTCAGAGCAACTTCCAGTGCTGTAAGCTCCATCTTTTATACTGCTTTTTTACTGTACCTTTTCTATGTTTAGATCTACAAATACTCAGCATTGTGTTATAGTTATCTACAGTATTCAGTACAGTAACATGATGTACAGTGCTGTAGCCTAGGAACAATAGGCTATATCATATAGTAGTCATACCATACAGGTTTGTGTGAGTATACTCTATGATGTTCGCACAGCGACCCAATCACCTAAAGGTGCATTTCTCAGAACGTATCCCCTATTGTTGCATGACTTTAATATATAGATTTGATAGATCAGTTAATTGCATAGGAGAAAAGGGTTAAGAAATGGGATTAACTCCTGAACCCTGCCAGTCCCTCATTAAGGATGAGGACCTGCCTGACTGTGAGATCTCTCTCCCTTCTAAGAAAGAGTCCCTTGGTGTAAACCTTACTGACTTGGGTGTCTGGGCCATCTACTCATTGCTTTATTCTTGCCTCTTCTTTCTCACCATGTGTGCAGATTGTGCGACGGGGAATGCCTCCTGGAGGAGGGGGTGAAGTGATCTTCTCCTGTCCCATAAGGAAGGTCCTGAAGCCCATTCAGCTCACAGATCCAGGAAAAATCAAACGTATCAGAGGAATGGCGTATCCTTTGCATTTGGTTCAGATTTCTTAATTATTTTCTTGCCTCACGAAGAGTGACTCACAACCAGTTTACTTCTTCCCAGAGTTATTTACATGTTAGACAACAATCATGGAAAAATCTTAACAGTGAAACTGTAATTGTTGTGTGGGTTATGATGCTTAATTAGCTGCCTCACCAGGACTAGATTGATTGATCCGTTCACTTTCTTTTTTTCATTAACACTTAAATGGCTCCCATGTATGTTATACTCTTCTGAGGGCTTTGGTTTGGGGGCCACCAGTGCACAGGCCATTTTGACTGAGCCTTATAGACTAGAACAGTGATGGCGAACCTTTTGAGCTCGGCGTGTCAGCATTTTTAAAAACCCTAACTTAACTCTGGTGCCGTGTCACATATAGAATTTTTTTGATATTTGCCACCATAGTAAAACAAAGACATATTTTTGATATTTATTTTATATATTTCAATGCCATTTAACAAAGAAAAATCAACCCAAAAAATGAGTTTGCGTGTCACCTCTGACATGCGTGTCATAGGTTCACCATCACTGGACTAGAGGCTTGTGAAGTGGAGCAAGGAAGGAAAAGAGCTTCAGGCAGAAAAGTGGGCCTGTATGGAGGTAACAGGTGCAAGATGGTTTTGGGGAGCGCCAAGCAATGTGGTGTGTCCCAAGTGCAGTAGGAGGTGGTACACAAAAGATGGGCAGGAGCCAGTGAAGGTGGAAGGCCATGCTGAGACCTTGTTCTTCATCCCAAAGTTAGCAGTTTTCTTCTGTAAAATGAATTTGCATATTAAGAGGATAATAGTGATGGTACCAAAGAACTTTTTGTTCATTATAGAAATTTTGGAAAGTACAAGTTAAAAAAGAAAATCACCTAATGACCAGCACTTATAGGCAAAGATGATGGAATTACTGTGCCCTAAAGAGAAACAGTGAGGACAAGGGATGCCTCTAGTTTATAGGATCCTAGAGGCAGGATGATCAGGACACAGTGATTACCTGGGTCTGTAATAGAGGAACAGGGAGTCGTGAGGATGATTTTGATGTTTCTCACTTAGGCATCTGGGTAGAGAGGTTTGTTCTGATAGTAGCTACAAACATTTGTGGTGATGTGTGGCGTTAGTTTTTTTGTTGTCTGCTTTGACTTTTAAATACTTTATATGGTAAAAATACAGCAAAAATATTTTTTGTTCAAAGAAGAAGAAAATATATTGCTCTGGTTGTGGTTCTAAGGATGATGTAAATAGTCTCTGGCTGCTTGATGATGTGACAGAGCTTGATGATGACTTCTTCCACGTGTGACTTCAGCTGCCCTCCCTTGTGCATTTCTGTTGGATCAAACACTCCCATGTTACCACTTGGCTTCATAACCAATATATATTCCAAGTGACAACAGGCAGGTTGAGAAAGGAGATGAACCAGTGCAGTGAAAGGAGCATTGTCATGCAGTGACACTGGTGTGGCCAGTCAGTTCTGGAATTACCCACTCACCACATTGTCTTCATGACGTGCTTAGCCAGCCACACCTTTCCACAGAACCTTGAGCCCCACAGAAGCAGGAGTCTTTCCTGCTTCTTCATCACTGTACCCAGTGCTAGCAGACACTGGTGACAGAGCCCCTGTGGGAAACTCCCCGCAGCCGCCTCACGCACGTGTTGTTCAGCTTTATTTTATGTTGGGGTTGAGGGTCCTTCAAGGTGGTTACAGAAAGACAAGTCTAGAAGAAGTTAGAAATGTAGGTCTGTAACTTGGGGCAAGGTGAGCGCTAGAAATGAACGATTTGAGTCAGCTACGCTGTGGAATCAGAGGGGAGGGCGGAACCCTGAGTTGCCACTAAGACTTGTAACACTAGGTAAGTCCTTCCAGGAAGGGAGACTGGGAAGTCAGAGATGAGAGGATAATGAAGAAGGTGCCTTAAAAAGCCCAGAGGAGTCAGCATTAGGATGGGGAATTAGCTGAGGAACGAACGCACAGCAGGCTGCCACCAAAGGAGGAGCTCTTTCCAGAAGGTGGTGGAGACCTTCCTCCACATGTAACCTCGCTTGTGTAATCAGCTCTGGGTTGTGGAGTGACTGGGAGGGAAATGGTGAAGTGTGGAGGCCACGCTTGCAAGAACCTTGACAGGAAAGAGAAGTAGAAAGAAAGATAAGGTGTTAACTTGATGAAGAGAGATTTGTTAAGATTTCCTCCTTTAAAGAAAAATGATGGTAATGATTTGAGTACTTCTGTAGGTTGGGTAACGTAGATTTAAGTAGAAGAGAGGCCAAGTGATGAAGCAGTGCATCAAAGTGATTAAGATCCAAGTGCTGGAATCAGACAGGTGTGGGTTCTACCTCTGTCTTTGCCACTCACGGATGGTAGGATTTTGGCCTCACGCCTTGGTTGACTCATTTATCTATCATAGGGCCCATTATACCTACTGTATCTGTAACGAGGGTTAAACGAGGTCATAGATGAACTGTACAAGGCAATGGGCTCATAGATAAGTAAGCATTCAGTAAGTGGTAGCTGCTGTACTTTTTTTATTGTTTGGTAAGGGATGCATTGAGAATGGCAGGCATATGGTAAGGGTGGCTCTAGATTGCTTTGTCTGGAGGTGCATGGAAGGGAGATGGGAGGAGTTTGCCATTTTCAGTGAGTTTGGATGGGATCAAGGATAAGGGGATTGGCAAGGGTATGATAAGGGAGGGTGACAGTGTGGTAAAGATGTGCTGTCACAGTGGGGCACTGTGACTAGAGATAAGAAAAAGGCTGTAGGGCAGCCATGCGGGCCCAGCTGAAGCTGGAACTGTGTCATGGTGCCAGCTGCATGGCTGTGTGGCTGCGTCCCACAGCAGTTGGCGGCCCAGGGGCAAAGCAGAGAAGACAGGAGGGCCAGTCTCATCGGGGCGGGTGTGGATTGACAGGGTGAGTAGTGCAGAAGCGGGGGTGAGAGCAGGTATTTGCGAGCTGTCATTGAAGCCACGGCCAGTGTGCTCCTTGCTGAGGAGCCCAACAGGGCTCGAGGAATTGGAAACGTTCACAGGTTTCTAGTGGAGGTAGATGTGTCTTTATGTAGAAGTACAAGAAATTGTGTTTAGGGGGTTGTTTGGGGGTTCAGATGTTAAAATTAGTAAATTTCTAGGTGCTGACAAGACCAGGGTAAGGGCAGGTGTTGGTGGCCACGGGGCTGGAAGGGATGGGGGATGCCTTTCCTGGTAAGGAGTTTGACAGAGTGGGGTCGGCCAGGATGTCTCCTTCTTGGGGGTGGCGTAGGTGCTGAGAGTCCAGCTTTGTACTTCTCAGGAGGCTTTAGGAAGGGCTTACTTGGAGGAAAAGTGTGTAGTGGACTAACGTTTCAGAGGTCTCCATTAGCTTGAACAGTAAGTGGTGAGAAACAATGGAATAGGGTGGGCTGCATATCCACGGGGGAGCCATTGTTGAGATGAAGATCAACCTTGGGGTGTTGTCTACATTCTCTGTCAGGATCCTCAAGAACAGAGGACTTTATAGCAAAGCTTCCCTGGATTATAGTCTGTTGTCTGCGTGGCCACCACGGGGCCACCCAGGGTCCACACCCGTGTACATATGAGGAGAAGGCGGCGGCTGGGGAGAAATAGTGCTGCCCCAGGAGCCGAGCTGCAGGTTGATGGACAGTTAAATTGGCTTTGCTGCTACCAAAATGCTGCAGTTCATGGTCTTGTACGTGGAATTCTATACCCTTCCAGGTGTATTTCAGGTTTGTTTTTTTCTCTCCTGAGATTTGTTCCTAGCAGTGAACTGTGCTTAGAATCCATTTTCTGGTCTGGAAATGTGATTCTCGGAGTGTGCGTGTTTTGACACAATCTTGTAACGACATGGGTTTCATGGAGACTGTCACACTGGGGTCTTGCCTGGTACTTACCCTCTTTACTGGGTGTAGGAAAGCCTCATACGTGAGCCTTTGATGTTGCTGGGAAAGGGGTGAGCATCCTGGGTTGTATAGAGAACATGAAAGCTGATGGCTGTGGTGCCCCAGGCACCTGGGGTTTGACGTTGTTCCTCCCTAACTTCTCCCTTTGGTGTTCCTTTTACAAAATCTGAGCCAGAGACTCTAGTGAGGGCCCAAACTCCTCCCCTTGCTCGAGGCAGGGGGTACAACCCCTGAATCCTCCCCAAGTCTTCCTCTAAACTCCCTGGGAAAATACCTTTGCTTAGATCCCTGCCTGCAGACCAAACATTCTCGCCTCTGGTCTGCAGAGCAGCCCATTTCACAAACACCTCCGAGGAATGTGGGCTTGAATTGAGATCACCTTCTTGGCCAGGATTGGAGCCTGGGAAGAAAAGAGCTGCCTTTGGAAAAGTTTTAGCTGGGTTTGTGGTTTTTTCTTGCAAGGCTGGTTAACTGTTGAACTGAGCTTGGAGGTGATATTCCCCACAGGAGGGCTCAGGTTGGGAGAACTAGTCCCCCTCTCCTCTGGGCATTTGTGGTTTTAATGAGCTACCGCCCAAAGTGCGTCTTTTCCCTTCTGATCGACTGGCCAGGGCCTGGCGGGGAGCTGGTGTTGGTTCCTGCCAGTGGCTGTGACTGGATGGTGCCGTTACTGTTTATTTAATGTCACCTACTCTCTTCTCCCCCCTGCCTGATGTGGGTGAGAGCGAAGGGAGCATTCTCTTTCAGTTTTACAGTGTGGCCTGGCAGCTCATGACCTGGTACGTAAGAGTTAATTGAGTAAACTGAGGTAGAGGCAGAAGTGGGGTGTGAGTTGAAATTTGTGGGACAGTACGGTTTTCTTTCTCTGACTATAGGGAAGGTACTTAGAGAACACACACACACACACACACACAGATGAATGCACTCCTTGGGGTTCTCTGACCTGCAGTCCTGGGGAGGGTGAAGTTCCATATGGACTGTAGTTATGAATGTCTCTCTAGGATGTATAGCATTCGTGAATGAGCTTCAGGACATTCATAACCTCCAACTTGTCTATCATAGTGTGTGTTCATGTGTTTCTAGAGAGAGTGTCGTAGCTTTCGTCAGGTTCTCAGAGGGCTCTCTGGTCCATAAAGGAAAAGCACTTCTGCTTTGGGATTTGGGTCTTGGACTAATGGTAAGAAAAGCAGTAGCTGGCATTTGTTGGGCTCCGACTGTCCACCAGGCACCACTAATGGCATTACACGCATCCTTTCATTTGAGCCTCCAAATCCTTTAGGGAGAGTGTTATGATTGTCTTTTTCTTACTGATGAGGAAGTGAAGGGACAGAGAAGAGCACATTTGAGCCAGCACGATGCAGTTTGCTGGAGCTGGGACTTCCACACAGTCTGATTCTAGAACCTTAGTTGCTCCTTGTGGGGCCTCCATGCCAGGCCACATGGCTCCATAGTGACTCTGGGATGTACCAGTTTAAAGCTCCTTTCCCTTCTTCACTTCACGGCCTGCTTCTAGCATAGCCTTGCACCGGCCCTGCATTGGCACTGTCTCCCTCCTGGTTTCCACATCTCTGGAGGAGCTAGGGAAGAAGGTTGTCTTTGGGAAGTGGATCTGTTTAATTTTGAATCTTAGTTCTGTGACCCACCTGTCCTCAGTGTAAGTCCTGGTCTTGGGGATCCGTAGTCCTTGCCATAGAGTTGCTATGAACATAAAGTAAGTTGACAGTGTACCTAAAAGAACTTTGGGAACCATGAACGCTGTGGGATTGTGTGTCAGGATAGTGACATCTATGCTCTCCTAGGGAGAGTGAGCAGCCTTGGACCTCAAAAGGACAGCACCCACCTACCTGGTCCAAAGGGTATGAGACCTGGGCTTGTTTGTTGTAGCTACCTGTGGTCAAAAGTACACTCTGGACAGAGAGGTGGTGATGTAACTGGACTCTGTGTGTGTATTGAAAAATCCCTCTTTGCTCTTTCCTCATTTCAGGTTTGTCCTTTGAGACAAGTCAAATATTTATCGAATATTTCTGAGTACAAAAGTAGTGTAGTACAGAGTTGTGAGCGATGCAGCAGCAGAGTCCCTTTCCTATGGAGTCTGTAGTCTTGTTGACGAGCGAGAACATGTGTGTGTATGAAGGAAGATGGATGGTAAGTGCAAGTGCAGATCACAGTTGGGTGCTGGCTGCTGGAGGGTTTCAGAAGAGGGAGGGAACTCTGGACTTGAAGGATGAAGGAAGGGCAGTTCTGGGTGAAGAATTTGGATGGGTGGAGGGGTGAGGTTGCCGGGTTAGGGATGAACACTGAGCAGGCCGGAGGGTCTGGCAGCAGGATCTGGGAGGGTGCGGAGTTACTAGGAAGATTCTCACCAGCATGAGGAAGATTGATCTTTGGGTGGAATGTTTATGATGGATCAGAAGGGGAAGCTAGATGCTAATCAAGTTTTTGTACAGACTCAGAGTATTTTATTCTACAGCTCAAATGAAAATTAAATGTGTTATTGATAGTAGTTTTTGGAGAGTTGAGCTGAAATGGTCAGACCACACACCTTGTTTTCCCTCTTGGACTTGCCACATGAGGTTTGTATAAGGGGAGTGGGAAGAGCACATGTTATTACATCTCCCTTCTTTTAGCCCCTGCCCTGCATATCTAGCTGGCTTATGGTCATGCGTTGCACATTAAAAGTGCTCATTGCATACTTATTTTTTATTGGATTGGGGAGAACCAGTCTCTGTGTTTTCCACTTTCTTAAGCACCAGCCTTTTTACTTGCATTGCTAGTATCTCCCTCCTCTCCTTTCTGGGGTCCCTGTTGTAAAACTGCTAATTACCAGTATTTTGACCATATGGTAGCAGTTGTGAAGAGTCTGAATCATCCACAAATGGAGTGATTGAAACTCAAATAATTGAAAATAGTCTCTGTGCATTTAAACAAACCCAAAAGCTGTTTAGTCCTTTATATGCAGCAGCTACCATGCTCTTTTCCCCCTTTCTCTTTTTTTCTTTCTGTCTTTCCTATCAACAGTGTAGCATCTGTTCTGATCTTAGGTCCTAAGAGAGACTCGTTGGTCCCAGCAATGGGGATGATCAGAGAATACCTCAAAGGGAGCTTGGCTCATGCCATACGAGGCAGTTGCCTTCATTTGTTCCAGAATTGAGTTGAATCATTTCTAAGGGCAGGGGCCTGGATGGGAAATTTATATCAAGGTTGGGAGGTTTTACTTTCCAACTCTTTATATTGTTTGGTTTTCCCCACCATGAGCATTTAAGCCTTTTATAACTATATATAAAGTTATATAGTAAATAAAATAATAATATAAAAATTGGTGATGGTACTATACAAGTAAGTGATGAAGTACAGTTAGAAAATTAAATGCAATTAGAAGTCCCAGTTTATCATTACAGTTTCACAAATATTTGCTAGCTCTTGATGTTTTTCTGCTCTGAAGTCCAAGGAGAATGACGCCCTTAACTCTAGGTTGCAGGTACTCCGTCCGTGTTTCACCTCAGATGGCGAACCGGATTGTGGATTCTGCAAGGAGCATCCTCAATAAGTTTATACCCGACATCTACATTTACACAGACCACATGAAAGGAATCAACTCTGGGAAGTAAGTGCCTGTGTATTTTTGGAACCTAATTCTGCAGCTACCCTAGCCTTTTTCATACTCAACTCTGAGATTGGGCAGCCAGAGGAAGGACAATTTCAGATTTAATTTCCTTCTGACTTACTGCCATTGTCACCAATAATTCCTTTCTCATGGAAAGCATCACAGTGGCCGGTGCTGGGAGTTGAGGAGTCCATCCCTACCCTGGGGGAATGAAAACCTAGCTATTTACTAGCAGTGCTTTAAGCTTTAAAATCCATCTGTACTCTGTTCCCACAAAAAGTCAAAGTAAACAAGTTCTTCCACTGTTAAGGAAATAACAGTTTAGGCAAAAATCCTTTGTTGGCCAAAGTGCCAGTCAGATTCTCTCTCTGTCGGGGGGGAACAACACCCCTGGAGCCAGAGAAAGTTGTTATTGCAGATTGGGTTTGGTTTAATGAAAGCCTTTGTGGAAAACCCCTCTTTAGAAAATAAAAAGTTAATGATCTATGTTTTGGGCTTTTGTTGTATTTTTAGAAACCAGTAAGTTAGGGAAACAATTAAAACCGTTTTTTGTTTGTTTTATTTTTTACTATGAAAATGTTAAACATAAAGAAAAGTTGACCTGAAACTAATATAAAATAATATCAAATATAAACTGTAATTGGGGGAAAAATAAAGAGAACTTGAAAGGATAGTATACTCTAATCAGATGTGAGTATATGAAGGTGCTTACTTCTGTGTTCTAGAGTAGCACCTGGCTCATCGTAGGTGTTCAATAAATATTGAATAAACAAGTGCATATGTGTATATGTATGCATATATATATATATACACACACACATATATATATATATATTCCTGCTACCTGTAGTTAACGATGAATATTTTGCGAAATTTGCTTTACCTGTGTGGGTTTGTTTTTGCTAAAACATTTTAGTGACAGTATTATTGTACTTCAGATCTGAAGTTTTCAGGTTGTCTCCTAAAAAAGAAAAAAGAAAAAGAGTATCGGGGTTTAAGGTTGATAGTGAGTTAAGAAGTCAGTTTTTTCCTAAGTGGTGCTGCAGCTAACCCTTTTCATGGATGTTCCTTCTGAGGCTCCTTTTAACTTCCGCAACAAAAGGAAAGAGATTTAAGGAGGGTGACTGTGCCACGGGATCTCTGACCTTCGTGAGGCCCAAGGAAAAGATGATGATTTCAGAAACACCGTAGTGGCCCATAGTCCAAAGTAACAGAGGTGGTGGTGTCAGAGGTGAGAGTTGGGAAAGGATTTGTGTGCAAAGTTGGCCCTTTCCTCTGGGGTTGGAAAGGTCGGTGATGGTCCCAGACCTGTGCATATTGCTCGAATATCACCACTGTTTTCCTTGTTCAAACTATGGCAGTGGCAACATCCCTAGGTAGCTGTAAGATGAAAAGATCACATATGTATGCCACTATGTCAAACTCGAGGCTCATGCTTGCACTAAGCAAAGCCTGACCCATAGTAGGGGCTGCAGAAATGGTAGCTGCTAAGGCTATTCTTTCCTTTCTCTTCCCTTGGCCACAGGTCTGGAATTATGTCAGCAGTTAGAATTATGGCCTCAGTATCTACCACAGGGTGGCCAGGGGTGAAGCAGAGCAGGCTTGAGGCCATACTGCCACCAGTGTGGCTTTTTACGACTGACTCAGCTGACCCCAGTGCATGGTCACACTGTAGGAAGCTCACACATGGGTCAAGATGTGGGTCATCAACTCCAAGCTCCTCTTAAAAAGTTAAAACCCATGTATGATAAGTTCATGTTTAGTTGTCTGAATCTTAAGTTACAGATGATACAGTGTTCTTCCTTCTCTGTTATGAAATTATGAAGTCATGGATGGGTATTATTTTCCTTCTCTGAGTCAGTGAAATATGCATGTCCGTTAGGCCTGTGTTGTGGGGCCAGCAGTTCCTGCTGCCTCTGTCAGTCCTGTGACCAACATGCACATCTATCCAGGGTGGTATCATGTTGACTCTCACAGTCACAACTTAAAAAAATAAACAATGAGTCCTTTACCAGTTGGAAAGTTTTGGAGGCTGCCACTTGTAATCCGCACCAATGTGCATTTTCAGTGAGGTCACCTGGTGACCAGCTGCTTGGTCACACACCCCAATTGGGGAGAAAATTGGAGTTGTATATATATAGCCTAATACGTTACCTTGTTTTCTGTAAAACAAATATAATATCAAATGGGATGATCCTGATCAACTATAAAGTTTATTACAGTAAGTCTGCATTCCTCACAGAATTTATATGGGTGAGAAAATTAGGAAGTTCTTGGGAAATTCAGGTAAGTGGGTTAAAGCAGTGATCGGAGCTTATCTCCTGGTTCTCCCTCCCCTCCGTTTCCTACTCTTTCATTTTATATTGCACTGCCTCTCCTGCAGAGGCGGATGTCCCCTCTCTGCTCCTGGTCAAGCAACTCAAAGGCAACTGGAGATTGTGCTAAAATGTCCCATGACGATGGACAGGCGGCACAGTGTTAGATGGTTAAGCATCACACAGAGTTCCCCTGAGCCTTTGATTACATAAGTAGCTCATTGCACCCCTTTCCTTGGCAGGTGCTATTAACCTTGGACTGCATAGATCAGCTGTGGGCAAACTACGGCCCGTGGGCCGGATCTGGCCTGTTTGAAATGGAAAAAACTAAAAAAAAAAAAAAAAAGACCGTACCCTTTTATGTAATGATGTTTACTTTGAATTTATATTAGTTCACACAAACACTCCATCCATGCTTTTGTTCCGGCCCTCCGGTCCAGTTTAAGACCCCATTGTGGCCCTCGAGTCAAAAAGTTTGCCCACCCCTGGCATAGATCATCGATTTAAAAATAAGGAAATAGACAACTGACCATCATAGTTCCTATAGTGAGCTCATAGTGCATTTGAGGCATCATTAATTTTACACATAGTTTTTCTGAAACAAATATCTTAGCTAGTTTTGCAGGGAGTGCATAGAAGGTGCTTTATGAACTCTGTGTCAGAGGAGCAGATCTGTGTGTGCTGTGTGTGGACGGTGGCTGCTGCTCCTCTCTGGTGACATGTTTACTGAAAAGGCGTGAGGCAAAGGAGATTTGAGATGTCAGATCTGGAAGTTTTGTGGAGAGGTGCTTGTGTTTTTTGTTTACGAACTGATTTTGTTTTGTGTCAAACTGGTTGTCACTGAAGTCGGTGAGGGCAGGAACTCTTGTGTTTACTGCAGGGCCCCCAGTTCCTGGCCCATGGCCGCAGGTGCTTGTTGGAATTACGAATGTGGTCCTTGACCAGAAGGGTATTAGGTTCTGGCTGTTGGGTGGTAGAAACACAGTGGGAGAGAACATGTGCCAGCTCTTTGATGCTATTAATTGAATTCTGAGTTAGAGATGTCCCTTAGAGACACAAACAAAGGTGAGCCGTATCTGGGCTCTCCCTGGCTTATGTGGCACTTTTCATTACTTGGGGTGCTGGGGGTTGGGGGGGTAGAGCTTGATGTATTCCAAGAGAAGCTATAATGAGGTGGTCTCCAGGCCACTTACACCTTCTGGGTTGGTTGTGAGGGCTGTGGTGGCGAACTTGGGTAGGCTTTGGAGTCTGGAAGACCTGCATTGGAAACACATCTCAGTCACTTCCTAGCTGTGTGGACGTGGTGCAGGTTGCTTAATTTCTCCATTTCCTCATTTGTAAGATGGGCACATATTACCTACTCAGCAGAATTGTAGTGTCAAAGCCCCTAGGTCAGAATCTGGCAGAGAGTAGGTGCCAACTATCTGGTAGCCCTTGTTAATGCTCCTATAAACTCTCACAGCAGGATTTTTCACAGTGTGGGAGGGGCTAATAGGAAAAGCGATGTAAACTTGCACCTTCCTTGGTTCCGCCAGGTGCGCTCTCACCAAGTCATGTGTATTTCCAGCGCAAGCTAGTGGGAACTCCAGTAGGGCTTGCTGTAACAATGCAGAGTGCCGTGAGAGAGATGTTTGTTTTCTCTTTCCTTTTGCTGGTGCCCGAACCCCACTTCATTAACCCTACTCAGTGTCTGTGCCTTTGAATCCCCAGGTCTCCAGGCTTTGGGTTGTCACTGGTTGCCGAGACCACCAACGGCACCTTCCTCAGTGCTGAGCTGACCTCCAACCCCCAGGGCCAGGGGGCGGCGGTGCTTCCAGAGGACCTGGGCAGGAACTGTGCCAAGCTGCTGCTTGAAGAAATCTACAGGGTATGTCCTCCGCCTCTGCCAGTTGGGAGAGGAGCCATCAGGAAGCAGTTCATTGTTTCATTCTTACTCCTTAGCAGCTCTCTTCCCCGTTCAAGGGCTTATGCCAAGGAGTTAACTCTTCCTGCCCATTAAACAGTTTAACATGAACTCGTTTAATGGATTAGCTGAACTAGTCAGTAAGCATAGATCCAGTTCCCCTGATTTGGGACAACAGGGCAGGTACATTTTAACAGTGTGGACACTTAAAAAGCTGAGACAGCGTTATTCGGGAAAGAAAAGGTGTAAAATGAAGCAGGTTAGCCGGTGACTGCCCACTTGAAGAGGATACAGTGCTGCGACCAAAACAGGTGCCATCTCCCAGCTCCCGCGTCCTTGCCATGTGACGATGGGGGCTCATTGTTTCCGGGTTCTTTGAGGAGTTGGAAATGGCGATTTGTATGTGACAGTTGTATCAGATACAAAATAGTGTCAACAGGCTAGAATTTGCAGTGTGTTCTGGAGCATAGAAGAATGTTTAGGGAAGGCAGGCCTGTGTCAGAGCATGGCAGGAGCTTTGGAAAGGCGAGAACACAGGAGACAGAAAGGGTGACGAAGCTGAAGACAAGACTTCATCGGTTGCCATTTGCTTCTGCAGCTCAGACCAACCTGGGCCAACCTGGCCTCATTGTCACAGGTTTTTTTCTTTCAATCCATACAAACAACATGTAGACAGGCATACATAGCTCTTCCTGTTTCCCAAAAATAGTCAAGGTGAGCCCTAACCGGTTTGGCTCAGGGGATAGAGCGTCAGCCTGTGGACTGAAGGGTCCCAGGTTCGATTCCGGTCAAGGGCATGTACCTTGGTTGCGGGCACATTCCTAATAGGGGGTATGCAGGAGGCAGCTGATCGATGATTCTCTCTCATCGATGTTTCTAACTCTCTATCCCTCTCCCTTCCTCTCTGTACAAAATCAAAAAAAAAAAAAATAGTCGAGGTGACCTAAAATAAGCAAGGAAGGAATTGGGAGGGAAGGAAAGATGATGGCAGGAGAAATAAGATGAAGCTGCTTGAAAAAACATTCTTTAAGGTCCCATATACTTGGTTAGAGGAGAGTCACAAATCTGGCCTCAGGATTTCTGGTTGTCTGTACAATCCTTGCCTCGGATCCATGTCAGAAGGTGAAACCTTCTCCTTGACATGCAGAATCCAGGACAGGCTCCCAGGAATGCTTATTTCTCTGGTCTGTATGCGAGGCCCCACATTCTTGAGCTGAGCACTAGCAAAAACTATACTTTGGGTGATTTGCTATTGTATGGTGTATAGTGTTTGTAAATTGCCTTTTCTCTTCAGCTGAAGAGCCTTTCATCTCTGTATTTATCTGTGTATTTAGTCTCAGTTAGTTGATATTTCTGTGGTTCTTTCCTGAAGTCTCCAAGGAAGCTTTGCCCTGTTTAAAGTAGCAAAAATCATATGTGAGCCCTAACTGGTTTGGCTCAGTGGATAGAGCATCGGCCTGTGGACTGAAGGGTCCCAGGTTCAGTTCGGTCAGGGGCATGTACCTTGGTTGTGGGCGCATCCCCACTAGAGGATTTGCGGGAGGCAGCTGATCCATGTTTCTCTCTCATTGATGTTTCTGACTATCCCTCTCCCTTCCTCTCTGTAAAATATCAGTAAAATATATTTTAATAAAAGATCATATGTGAGCCCTTATGAAATAAAACAGGTGATTTTGTTTTATTTTTAAATACTTTTTGTTGCTGTAATTTATTAATCATTATGGTAGAGTGGCGCCTGGTTCATGGGTATTGATCCCTGCACAGGCCTGGCTAAGGAAAACAGCCTACAGCCAAGTCTTCTCTCCATCCAGTCACCGTTCTCAACAATACCTTATTGGTTGCAAGGTGGAACACGTAAGAATGAACTGCTTCAGAGTTCACTAAAATGTCCAGGTCTTAATGGTTTTTTTTTTTTTTTTTTAAATATTTTTTATTGATTTTTTACAGAGAGTTAGGAAGAGAGATAGAGAGTCAGAAACATCGATGAGAGAGAGAGACATCGATCGGCTGCCTCCTGCACATCCCCCACTGGGGATGCGCCCGCAACCCAGGTACATGCCCTTGACCGGAATCGAACCTGGGACCCTTCAGTCCGCAGGCCGACGCTCTATCCACTGAGCCAAACCGGTTTCGGCTCTTAATGGTTTTAATTAATGTTCATCTAATTAAAATGGAAGACAAAGGACCTATAATTGTGTCTTCAGTGGAGTGACTGTACTCCCTGTCCTCACCATTCAGCTAGCAAATAGTGGCAGAAAGAAATGCCCTCTCAAATGAAATCCTCCTGCAGGAGGAAGTATCTTCTCACACTACTTGTGTGGCCAAAGGCTGGCCTTAGCTTTTTTGATGCAAAATCAGCCCTGTGTTTGATGCTTAATTTAGTGATTTTTTTTGAAAGATGAATAGTAAATAAAAGTTGGGAGTAAATAAATGATCAAGAGGTTACCATGCCACTTAGTTCAGGAAGTTAGTCATCTAGACCAGCGGTCGCCAACATTTTGGACCTCATGGACCGACTGCTCCATGGACCACCGGTTGGCGACCGCTGCTCCAAAGGTTTCCTTAAACCAGCAGTCGCTAACCTTTCGGACCTCATGGGCCACCAGTGATCCGAGGACCATCGGTTGACTACAGACCGTGCATGTGATCCATGCGTCCCTAAGCCCCTGGCAACTGGTACAGGTTTCCCTTGCTTGTGGCTTGCAGGCCCTCTGACCGTGGGGACCCTCTCATCTCTCTCCAGTAGACCTGGGGGAATTGGAAGCATCACATTACAGAAGAGCCCAGCTGGAGGGAGGGTTCTGTATCCTCATAAATAGCACGTTATAGGCCTCAGGGTGAAAGCAAGGCCACAGAGAGAAAACATGCAATCTGGATTAAGTTATTTTATTTTCCCCCCTTTACTCTAGTTAAGTTCTACTTAAAACCATTTCATTGTGCCTGCATCAAGTTTGTTTGTTAGTTCTAATCATTAAGAAAATTTCTTTTGTGGCTATCTATGGTCTTTAGTTAAAAGGATGAAAATGCTTCATGTTTTTATGAATAATTCTTTATATGTCTGTGACATGACATGGTTTAAAAGAATAATAAAAACATGTCCCCTTTGAAGGTGCTGTTTATTTTTATCAACATTATAGTCCTCTGATATAATCCCTCTTGTTCTATTTATGTCTCATCAGTTACCAACCAAGTCCTCTTGATTGTGTTCCAGGCTTTCTGAAACTGCCTTTTCTGTCCATCTTTTAAGCTGCCTCTGTCTCCTACCCCCCACCACCTCCCCAACCCCTGTCCCCACCACTTGCAGGAGTGGGAGTCCTCTCTTGACCTTCTCCAACATGCCCTTCTGTCTAAATCTCTTGAAACACTTAACAGTCTGTGAAAGGAGCAAGTTTTATAAAAACACTTTCACTGGTCCTCAGATTCTCCATGGGTTAGAGTTTTTGTTTGTTTGTTTGTTTGTTTTTTAATGGAAATACATATGTTACACCTCTTGTCCTAACATTGGCTTAGAGAAGTGGTTCTCAACCTGTGGGTCGCGATCCCTTTGGTGGTCGAACGATCCTTTCACAGGGGTCACCGAAGACCATCCTGCATATCAGATATTTATATTACAATTCATAACAGTAGCAACATTACAGTTATGAAGTAGCAACGAAAATAATTTTATGGTTGGGTCACAACATGAGGAACTGTATTTAAAGGGCCAGAAGGTTGAGAACCACTGGCTTAGAGAGAAATATTGCCCTTTAAGGTAGTTTAGGAAGAGCAGTAGAATTTCATAAAAGCTGGCAGTAGGATAAGCCCCTTATTTTCCTGCTCAGTTGTAAATGAGGTCTGATGGCAAAGAGTGAGTGTTTGTGCTGATAAATGATTTATCCCCTACACTGCATGCATTTGAGAGAGGTTGCCTGGCTGGTGTGGCTTAGTGGTTGAACATTATCCCCATGCACCAAGAGGTCGCCGGTTCAGTTCCCAGTGAGGGCACATGCCTGGGTTGCACGTGCAGGAGGCGGCTGATCCTGTTTCTTTCTCTCTCATCATTTCTTCCTCTCCCTTCTCCTTTCTCTAAAATCAATAAAAACTTTGTTTTTGTTTTTTAAGAAGAGAGTGGCCATGTGTTCTGTTTAAAGTCTGGGAGTCTGGGCTTGGATAGTGATGTGCCATCATCAGCAACTGGGTTCTTTTTGTGGCATGTACAAAATATGTAGAAATTCAAGGTCATCCCACTTTCACTGTGTACAATGTAAGTTTGAATTGTTTTAAATAAAGTTATCTCAGAAAGAATGATCAGAAAGACTTTTTTGTGTTTGTTAATTCTCACCTGTGGATACGTTTTTTCCACTGCTTTTCAGAGAGAGTGGGAATGGGGCGGGAGGTGGGGGGAGAGAGAGAGAGAGAGAGAGACCGATGTGAGACACATCGACAGGTTGCCTCCCTGCACATGCCCCAATGGGGGCAGGGAGTGAACCTGAAACCCAAGTACATGCCCCTGACTGGGAATCGAATCTGAGACCCTTTGGTGTGCAGGCTGACACTCTAACCACTTCAGCAACACTGGCCAGGGCAATAAAGACATTTTTAAGGCACAGATATAAACAGCAGTCATGCATGCACGTAGTAGAAGCAGAATGGCTGAAATGGTCAGGAAACCCAAGGATGAAAGAAGGCAACCAAAACAATCCTCAGGAGAGAGTTTGTGAAGATTCTGTCGTGCTTATCGATTTGGGAGAAAAGGAAGGAAAAGTGGCGGGAAATAGTACATAAGCAGTAAAAATGGAGAAATCTGGTCTTAGTAATTCTTCAGTTGCACAGGAAGAGTCACAAGGAGACACTAACGTAACTTGACAAGCAGTTTTGAATGTGGTGGGATAAGTTTTAGGCTAAGGCCCTTTCATGTCAGATTGACTGTGGTGTTCCTTGGCAGATTAAATAAACAATCCCCATCCACCTCACCCTTGTTAATGACCTGTACATTTCCTAGAACTGATTATGCTTTTTTTGTTTATGTGTCATGCTGCTGCTGCCGCTTTAATTACGGAGGGGAATTTTTATTTTGCCTTAGATACACCTCAGTAAACTTGAATGTCTATTTATTCTGATGGTCTCAGCTAATACAATTGCTTTGATGACCAGTTAGTTTAATCCTCCAAAGTTAAGTGATACAAGGATTCCGCTGAAAAGACTTGTATTCTGTTTTATTATTGCTTGAACTTTGCAATCTGCTCTTCTGTGGTTCTGATATTCTGGGTATTTGTGACTGTTTTCTTGGTTTTCCATTCTCTGGTTGGTATAACGACTAATCTTGAAAGTGTTTGTATTTATAGGGTGGATGTGTGGACTCGACCAACCAAAGCCTGGCTCTGTTGTTCATGACCCTTGGGCAGCAGGACGTTTCCAAAGTCCTGCTAGGACCACTCTCTCCGTACACGTGAGTTGTTTTCACTCAGCCTCATTACTGCTGTCCAATTTAATCTTCCAGTTGCATGACATGATAAAGGTGCTGGACTGTGCATAGCCTATCACTATGAACACCTGCTTGGACTGATCCTGGAATGAGCTGGAGGTTATCAGTCTTAACCTGGTGTTTAGCAGGCATCTTGCCTTCCTTTCTCTTCTGTAGTTGCATTATTCCCATGCCATTGAAGTTGTGTGGTATATTGGACAGTTCTTTTGTCCGTGCTTTAGATCTTTCTCATTTTGGAGGTAATCTGGTTCCATTATAACTTAGATTTTGTTAGGTTTTTTTTTTTTAATCCCCTCTTTTCCCTATCCGTGGCAAATAGGGCTGTCTTTTTGTCCAACATGATAGGGTATAAACTGGCTGGAAAAATGAAAAAAGAGGCAAAGTCTATAGTAATGCCACTGGACCAGTAGGGATATTGTAAAGGTGAGTTTGAGGCCATTGGATGTTATCAGACGATGACTGCTGAGGCATTAAAGCAAGCGCTCTACAAAAAGAGCAGCCGATGAGAAGACTTGGATTGTTAACAGCACAGTGGAAGCAGCACTTCCCATAGGTAGCAGATGAGCTTGCTGTAAGCAGCCTGTTTGAGCCCTGACCTCTGGGTGTGCCTCCATGTGCTCGAGATCATGACCTGGCCATCTGTGGGTGGAGCGGGAGTGGGCCTGTGTGGGAGGAGACACTCAGGTAGATATAGACTGAACTGTCCTTTTTCGGTTATCATGGTACCGATGCTGTATATCTGGAAGGTACAGTACTGTGATAACTGAAGAATGGTGGTGCCATCACATTGAGTAAGGGGCCAGCACTGCGGAGGGGGCATTGTACCTCTGGAACATCGCTTGGGGCGCATGGAGACCAGAAGCTTGAAAGAGATTGTTTTGGAGGTTTTTTTATTTGGAGTTGGTGGTGGGAGGTTTTTTGGAACATGGAATGGAAGAGAAGACACTCTGAGCAGTGGGGGAAGACTGATAAGCAGGAAGCTAGTGAGGAACCACATTATCGGCTAACAGTTGTAAAATATTTCATGGGACAGGCACCTGAAATCTAGTAATCCTCAGTGGAACACTAACACCAGGGATCAACATTGCTGAAACAGACTTTGTAGCTAAGGTGTTTGGAGAGGAGGCGAGGGAGCACACACAGGGCCTGAATGCAGAGATTCACTTCCAGCAGAGCGTCGGCTGGAAGCGCTGACTGCTCTGTGACCACCAGGCCCCTTCAGCCAACTCTCTTGCTGCTGCTGCTGCCACTGCGGCCGCCTTCCCAGCCCCTGCTTCAGGACAGCGAAGGCCTGACCGCTCACACCGCTTGAGGCAGTCTCTAGATGTGTGTGGTCGTGGGGCATGGGGTTTGGCAGAACATTATGTGCAAAAGGAAATCTATATTTTTAGTTTTCCTTGACCCCTTTTTTTTTTTGGCTCTTAGAGATTTTTTTTTTCAGTTTGGCTACAGGGCCTTTATAGTTTTTTTCAAGTCAGCAGCCCCTGTGGAGATGGTCAAGATGTGCCTGGACGTTTTTTTTTCAAGTTCCTGTGTCCTCCTCGTATACCCCCTCACCAAACATTAATTGCAGCCTTCTCTTCCAGAAACCTCATCTAAAATGACTACATCTCCCAGGAAAACAAAGTGGTCTGCTCTGAATGGAGCTTTACAGGGCTGGGACAAATAGCAGAATTGTGTTTGAAACTTGGGGCTATGTTTCTCTGGGTTTCCTGACTCCTGGGGTTTCACGCAGGAAGGACTGCCATGGGGTGGACAGCGCCGCCTCCTTTCTTTTTGGTAAGCGAGCACACGGTGGGGGCAGGAGATTGTAAGGAGTTTATTTTTGAAAGCTGTATCTGTTTGGGACCCTTGTTGCTTGTTATCATTGTGGAAGGCTCCAGGAATCCAGAGTGATGATGGGCAAAGGTGGGAAGAAATAGATGTCCTTCTAGGACCGAATACACAAAGTTATCGTATTTGTGAGTACAGCTTAGGATGAAAAAGGCACAGAATCTATAGTTAGTATAATTGTGGTGGGGGGGTGGGGATCCTAGTTGTATTCAAGAGTTTTGGAGACCAAACTCACTTTTCTTTTCTTTTTTATTGTTTCCCCCACCCTCCCCGGCCTTCCTGCTATACAAACTCACTTATTTTTATAAAGTATACTTAAAGTCATAAAAATCTACTTTTTGAATTCTCAAATTTCTCAAGAAAACTGGAATCAAGAAATGTATTTCTTGTGGCAGTTTTCACGTTCTGATTTGTTTAAAAAGTTTTTTAAGTTTTTTTTGTTGTGTTTTTTTTTTACAGAGCACTGGGATTAAGGGGGATGTGTTTTCTTATGTATTGCTTTGAAACCCTTTCTGGAAAATAAGGGTGTCTGTTCTTCCCTTTATTCTTCCCTCTGTCTTACTTCTGTTGGTGGTTTCCTGTGTTACTTGAGAAAGCACATCTATATGTGTGAAATCTTTTGGGAAGGCCAGAGAGATGTTTTTCAGAAGAATAAAATAGTATTGGCTAATATGCTGGTATGCGGAAAATCTATTTCTGTTCATTTTGTTGAGTTTCAGGTGGTTTACAATTGGTGACAGTGATTCCACCTTCCCCTGAAAAAGCTTAATATTACAGTTTAGGCAGGATTTATACTTTATTTAAAAGTGGAATTAACAGCAAGAAAATCACACTTTCACAAATTATCTGATTGGAGACTGCAGTTACATGTTGTCGGTACATGGTCGTGGAAGTGCAGCCTCCCCTATTTCAGTGCTGGCTCTCCCGGGAAACACCAGGGACCGGGGACGGCGTATAGCATCTCTGAGCCTTGGTCTTATCTGTGGAGAAGGTGAATGCTCCTGAAGTCGGGTTTGTGGAGATGGAGCAAGGCTTAAGAAGGTCAGGTACTTAGTGCTCCCAGCCAGCAATGCAGTGGGCCTGGCAGAGCCCAGTCAGTGCTGGACACTGCGGTTTCCGCCTGGATACCCCCTTGCCCTGCCCCAGCCTGGGAAAACCCAATCTCCTGTTAAGGTCACTGAACATCAGGAGGCCCAGTAAACTTGCTTTGGGTTATCTCAGGCCTAAAGTCAGCTGTGAAGTGTTTGCTCAGATATCTATAAATCTGTAGCCATTAATTTTTAAATTTATGACCAACTACTGCAGTCATATTGCTAAATAAACAACACACATCTCACTTACTGTTCCCAAGAACTCTGTAAGGTAGGTGTTTATTTAACAAACACAGTATTTACTGCTGGCCCAATGTTTTAAGCACTTGACAAATGTGAACTCATGTAGTTTTCATCATAACCCTAGGAGGTTACTACTGCACACTCCATTTTACAGGCGTGGGGACTGAGGCACAGAGAAGTTGAGTCATGTGCCCAAGGTCACATAGTCAGCAAGTGGAGTTCAGAGCCAGGCAGTCTTGCCCAGAGTCCATGCTTCCCTGACCCACTGCTCTTAAGCAAGTGCTGGGATTCCACCCCTGTTGCTGGACCTCAGACACCTCCCTGCCTGAGGCAGGGTGCCATGCCACGCCTTTCGAGAATCCTCAGTTCAGATTATGCTACAAAATGACCTCCTGTCTTTACTTGGAGTCTAAAATGAACCATGCCTCTTCGGTTTTTCGTGCCGGCCAAACCTGCAGCTATTTGGGTTCAGTTGTTTAACTGCTCTCCTCAGCTGGCAGGATACCACTCCCCCTGACAGTTGTGATTTAATTCTGTTTAAATGCTGCAAAGCCCTGTCACCTTTATTAAAGTATTTGAGCTGCAGACCATATTTGGCAGATGGTAAAAGCAAGTGATGTCTTTACTTTTTGGATGAGCAAGAGAGTTCAGGGACCTGCTCATAGTGAGTTTGTCCTGGGACCCACATCTCCCAGCCATGCAACCAGCCTGTCTGTCTCCTTCTGCCTTTATAACCGAGTTTGTTCTTAGAGCAGAGGCAGCTGGACTTTGGGAAAGCCTCTGTCTGGAGAAAAAGCACCGCCGATACATTTAAAGCTGTGGTATAATGACTACAGGGACCCCATCCAGCAGATTCTCTTCTCACCCCCAGGTCTCTCACCCCTCCTTAGACCTGAGAAGCAGGTAACCCCAATATCTGAGTGGTTTGGTGGAGCAGGAATCAAGACCCTCTGTTGTCGTTTGTGTTTGTGGAATTGAGGGGGGGGGCGGGGTGTGGGGGGAGCGAGCACGTGCGCGTACTTCCCATGATTGCTTTCACCTCCACTCTCCAGCAGGCATCAGAAGAGGGCCCTGGTGAGAGGTGCTGTATTTTAAGGGGCAGGGCCTGGCACCTGGTCAATCCCGGGCAGTTGGGATTCAAAGGATAGATGACTTTGAGCCCAGTGGCTGTCACCTGTTGATCAACAATGCTGGTGGGAACAACCTACTCTTGGAAGATATACGGGAAAAATTATCTCTGTTTTCCAGGATTCTCGAAACCTGCTTCTCAGGTGGCCTGGAGGCTTTCATGGTCTGGGTGTTTTGGTTTTTTTTTTTTTAGATAAGTCACTTTGTATTAGGAAAAAAAGTTTACTACAGATTTAGTTCTCTTCAGTCCTTCTCACGGGAATTACAGTCCCAGCTGCCTAACATGGTTGGTCTAAAAAGCTGCCAGTTACACTGCGCAGGTGGGCAGTCCTCTCTCTCAAGGAGCAGAGCTGCTCTCAGCATGCATGGCTCTCTTTTGCCTGGCTGTGCGGCCATGTGGTTGTGTCTGGGAAGTGTGGATCTACAGAATGGTGCTTGGAAGAGAAGGAAAGGGAAGAGGCGGGGCCTGGTGGGGCCTGTGCTTGGGGCTGTGGAGAAGGATGTGGATCAGCACCGGATGTGACCTTTGCTGACTGCGTGTGTGTGTGTGTGTGGGGGGGTGGGGGCGAGTTTATTCTCTGTTTGCTTTTCATTTTCTTAAAGAGACTGTTAGGATTTAATGTTGTCTGGTTGTTTCTCAGCTCTGAGCATGTTTGATAGCTGGAGGTAGGAGGACATTCTGAAGCATACCTTAATCCAGTCCCTTACAGAGTCTTCCTCAGACAGGCCGTTGGCAGAACATGGTGTAAAAAGTGGAACCGACTTTGCTTTTTCTAACGATTCCAAAGGCTACAAATACCTCAGAGCTGCAAATATGTAGGCCTGCACACTCAAACCTGTGTTTCTCCATCCTTCTCCAAGAGATCTGAAGCAAGCTGAGGCCTCTTAGGAGTTCTGCCAGCTGGTGGGGTGTCTGGTTTTTCCAGCACAGTTGAACGATTCAGAGTGAAATAGGCTGGGGAGGCTCTGGTAGCAGGCCTGTATTAGAGCCCGGTCAGCAGCGAGAGAGAGAGCAAGCTGTTTCCTCCTCAGAATGCAGATGAGTGGGTGAGATGCTGGTTTTGTCTGCACTGCTGCCAGCTGGGAGGCTTTGCCCACAGATGTGGACTGTTTATCTATGGGTTTGATGTTTTTCTTTTTTTCCTAGGACAGGGTGGGGTGCAAAAACTTGAAAATTGGTAAGACAGGAAAGGCAGCAGGAAAAGAACTGACTTCCCTTAATTGCTAAGTCATTTCTCAAAAGTAGTCCTAACTCCTAAATTCTATTTCTTGCCTCATTAGTGAATGCCAGACATAGTGCCTATGTATAGTGGGTTTCAGTGGAGAGAGAGGAATTGGCTCTGCCCGGGTAACCCCGTTGGTTAGGGCATTGTCCTGATATGCCAAGGTTGCAAGCTCAGTCTCTGATTAGGGCACGTACAAGAAGCAGCCAATGTATAAATAACATTTGTTGTGGCAGCAAATC